TACACAATACCCCCGGCATAACACAGAAAACACACCTGCAGATTCATTCTAGTCTGAGTAAGTCTGACAGAATGAAGTTTTTCTTTTTTGAGAACACACTTGATCAACTCCATTAACAACTTCTGATTTTACAGTGTCCCATTGTATACAGACTGCCATGATGAATTTGGAAGTGCAACCTTATTTTCCAGAATAGGATGCACTTTCTACACTACTCCCTTATTTTTCTCATTTCATTGATAAAAAGCTTTGACAGAAAAGCCAAAAACTTAGCACGCCCCCCCCCCAAAAAAATAAAAATCAAGAGTAGCAATACATACTCTTGCTTCTTGTAGCATAAGAAAGGTCTCTGGTAAGTCAATTACCAGTACTCCAATTTTGACACAAAGTAAATATTGTTGGCAACACAAATCAAAGGCAACCGTCACATACCATCAAATGCCTGTTACGAAGTAGCCCTACTCTAAGTCAGTCTCTTTAAAATTAGTGACTATGAAGAAACACACAAAAATTACCAGGTATCTTTCAGTCTTTTACAAAAACCTCCTGAAGAGTTAACATGAGGTAACATGCTGAGTAAAAAGAAATAATTCTTTTTATAAAATGTCTTTTAATTATTAAAGGGCAGGGAGAACTCTTTTGAGGACCACAACAGTCCCAGTTCTGAAATTATTATATCATTAACTCACACGAGTAACCCATTTGAAACAAATGCAATTTCCTGTACATTAAAACCTCAACATAAGCCCGCATTTATATTTGAAGCCCACCATTGTGGCTTTCTAGAATATTTTAGGAGCACTTCATAAATTATAAAGGGGATAGAACAACTGACCGGCAAAATCCTGAAGTACTGGTTACAGCCTTTCACCCATAGCACAACTAAGCTGTGGTGTCAGAAAGTAAGGTCCTGTGTCTTCCGGATACAAAAGATTCCTCCTACTCCTTTTTACAATATTCCTTTTCCAATTACAGTCTTGGCATACAAAGAGAAGTCAAAACCAAAATCCTCACTTTCAGTATTTTTTTTTTGTTTGCTTAATTTTGGTTTACTAAATAAGACTAAATTTCTCAATTTCTATTGCATAAGTGATGTTTGATAATAGTTTCTTTGGTACCTTTTTTAAAACTCCAAGTATACCTAGTTCTAGAAAAGCACTTACTGTCAAAATAAACCTGTGTATGCTTTTATTTAGTCCATATGCTGCAAGACAAAGGTCTCAACCTCACTACAGAATGTCTAGTAATCTAAAAAAAAAAAAAAAATCTGTCATTTGGACTGAATGCCTCATTCACTATGTGGTTAGTTCTGTGTACAAATAAATTACCTTTTTAAAAGGTTATGAGCTGTCTAGGCATTAGCTAGAAGTGCATTTAATATTAAAATCTTATGCCTTTGAAGAACTATCGCATGTTCTAATACACTCACTTTCTGTATATACCCAACTTGTCAAAAGCTTCATAGGTAATATCTTTTCATCCATTCTGGTTTAGAAGGGAAAAGAAAGTCTTCTCCCATCAATTGCAGTTATCTGTAGACAGCAACCTTTTCTGTTCTTTCATAGTAGCTTCTAACACCGATTTAGCAGCAGGGTATTTTTCAGTGAAAGCAGAAGATACTTCTTTCCAACAGAGAAGCAAGAGTATACTGGAGTCAGTCATATCACATAAATTGAATTGTTAATGTATGAAGGATATCACTGCACATTAGAGCCCAGTATCTGTTTGGGGCAAAATCTGCTCCCACACAGAGCTGGCACAAACTCCATTCTACCTACCTCAGTGCTATCTGAGGACACAGAATTTCAATAATAGTTTTGTGTATGGGTGGAGAGATATTAATATCCAGTTTCTCTCTGAAGAGACTATATAAAAAATAAGAGATGTTTTACAGCAGTCTAAATCAGTCCTTTTTCCTGCAATAACGAGGAAAAGATTGAATAATTCTAACACACCCTTTGGAATACTATGACATAAGTCTGATAAGGTACCAAACTGAAACTACAGATTGCACTGAAAGACACTTACCTAAAGTCACGATCAATAAACACACTCCTTTAAGGCCACTGTTTTGATACTATTTTAAAAAACGTGCAAAACGGAACCAGGATAAATACATACACTTTGTAAAGGACACTGGTTTATTGAACTTGATTAATTGGAATACTGCTGTTAAATAAAATGAAACCTGAGAAAAACAGAAATAAAACTCCAGAATGGAGACACTGCTGTTGGCATAACAAAATGGGAATGTGAAGGTACACAGCCTGAACAAGTTCAATAATTAGACAGTTCTCAGGAATAAGCAGCAATGTTTCTGACAGGGATGACTCCACCCTAAAGTGCCTCTTCTAAAATAATCTGATTAACCATTTAAGTTCCAATATGGGTCACCACCAGAAATAATGAAGGACAGACTTGGACAAAGTTTGCCTGTTACTTTATGAAACAGAAGAGCTATCAAATAAAATATATATCTTGCTTTAATTTCAAGCATTGCTCAGCGTCACAGGTAGACTATTCCTAGGATGCTGCAGCAAATGTTTAACTTTGACAGTTCTACAAACTTATACTGCAGACAGTCAGAAAATCATCTCAGTGAGAAATTCCAGTGCAGACTTCTAATCAAACTGTGGAATTTAGTCTAGAAGACTTGTGGAGATCCATGCAGTTCCTAAGCAGACATTCTCCCTCACCTCTCCAGGAGAATGTTTCCTCTTTCCTCTGCCTTCTCTCTCTAGATTGGAGAAAAGAAAGAGATCCACTGTGAAGATCAGAGCAACTTAGTTATCAGGTCTCTTTTCAGACTTAGTGCAGAAGCTACTGGAAGCTTCCTTTCCTACCAGATTTTTCTCCGTCCAGTAACTTCAGCATCTGTACACGCTGCTAGACAGCTTTCATTTTATGTAAGATATTGAGGTACCCAAACAGAATCACAACGAAAGAAATTATTATTGAGCTTTGTGCTTACTCTTCCCTTTAACAGGATTCTTGAGCGCCCAGACGCACAATCTACTGTAAGGTTTTGTTGAGTAAGGGAAATATCCTGGCTTGATCAGTATTGTAGGGATTAAACTAGTTGGAAGAAGCAAACAGCTAAAGTTACACATTTGCACTGCAAATCCAGAGCACTAAGATAGCAGCTTCTGATGCAGAGGGTGAGTATCCCCAAGAAAACATATTTACCAACAACTTTATAGCCTTACCAGCTTTTGCATGCTACTACCGCCATTTGAAGTTCTAGTTCCCATGGTACCTGCAGATCCACTGAAGCACAGTAAACAAGACATACTTTTCTAGTTTACAGCACCTACAGAAAAAAACTGGAGGCAATTAGGAGTCAGAACCAAAAGACTCAATTTGGGGCGGGGGTAGGGGGGGGGAGGTCACTTTGGTGGGGGGGGGAAGTCACTTTCGTCACACTTAAGAGTCTAACACTTGTGTCAAAAAACTAGGACAGAAGTCCAGAGGTCAGCTTTCTCTTTTTGGCTCTGTCATCTGCTGCCCACTTGTTTCAAGAAAGCCACCTCTGTATCTCAGGTTGCCCTCTCCCATTTATTTTTAACAGATAGGGAAAATAGCCACCTATCTCAAAGAGCCAAAAATTACTCAACGTTGGAAAGCACCAAGCTGCTCACAGACAACTGAAACAGACGTTTCAAGAAAGTCGGACACAGCCTTTTTTCAAAGCAGAAGTCTTGGCTCTAAGGTTTGAAACAGTTCTTTTCCTGTTCTTTTTGCAAGTTCATATGCCACAATTCTAATGGCATGCAAAAGACCTCTTAACCTTCAGGGCAAGTGACTGTAATAGCAGATTACAGACACTGTTACAGACTACAGACACTGTTTCCTCAGTAATACATAAAAATGCCAAGAGTGACCTAAGCTTGTTTCTTGCTTGCTCAGGCACACCTCAACCAAAGGCCTACAAGTAAGTGGGCATATTTCTTCGCAAGTTAAGAAAGTAGTACTATCAAAAGTAGCTATGACAAAAGCAGCCTCAGAAGTAGATATACATCACAGCACAAATCCAAGGCACCAAAAACTTCAGGCCTTACTACTGGCTTCCCTGTTAGCTGTCACTTGACAAAGAAGAAGTAACCCATGAAATTCAACTGGCAACTGAGGCTGCACAATCATCAGACCTTTTATTTTACTCTTTAGAGAGAGACATATGAAATAGACCATGTTGTGTGGAAAGAAACAGCCAGACTTCTCAGCAATTAAACACTCTGTACCGAATAAAAAAATATTTAAAAGGAAGTCACACAATCTATCATCTGATAGGTCATGTCTAAAAACAAGAACACCAAAGCATCTTGCTTATTTTACCATAAAAAACATCTTATGTCTTAAAAGTATATACAAGTGTCCGGTAAAACAAACACCTGTCCCATAACCACAAATCTGACTTCTCATGACAATCAACTGTGAAACCTGAAAGATCCTCTTAACAAGTCTCATTTAATTTAATAAAGTTACTTTAAGGCAAGTAAGGATCCAGTCAAGATTATTAGATATACCTGGTTTGCATGCACATTTTCATCTTTCAGTACTCAAATATTTACACTTACATGCACATTTCTACCTCCATGCTATCCGTTTGAAACTTTAATCCTCTTCTAGGCAAAAGACAAAAAAGCTCTAGAGCTTATCTTCCTCAAACCCAAACGTATTAACCCTCTTTTCAATCAGTCAAAATTTTTCAATACTCTACTCTCAAGCTGAATCTTGATAAGGCATTTAAATTCACTTATAACTACAGCCAGTCCAATAAAAGTGAACCTCCAGCACTTTCCTGTACATGAGTCACAGACGCCAATATATTCAAATCCTTTGGCAAGTTTAGGCCCTAAACTTTTAAAAACACAGAGGATTTTTACCACGGCACACAACACTGAACGTTTTATTCTGCTTCCTTCCCACTCATTTAAAACAAACAAACCCCAACGAATTAAAGGACGGGGGGAACCACAGAAATGAGAAATCCCAAAACAAACCACAAGTAGAAGTCCCTCAGGTTCGACAAGGCTGCTCATACCCCCTTCACAAGTTTAAACGCCACCATGATGATAAAACAACCATTCGGCAGGAGACCAGAGGCGCTATTTTATCCCTCCACAACGGCGAGAATGAAAAGTTTCCCCGTCCTTCCTGCCGCCGCGGCCCCCCGAAGCGGTCACCCCC